GAGTGTGCGAGACTTGGAAATAAACCTATTGAATATGTCACTTATTCCCCCCAAAAAGTATTTGAGGGCGCTTTATCGATTGTGTCGAGTCAATGTGAAAGCAACATCAGCAAATCAAGCGCTGGGATTCATTGAAACCAGAGTATTTCACAGGAAAAGTCTTCCAGTCTGCACTCCAAGCGAAGGATTATTGTGTCAGGAAATGTAGCTTATAGGATCTCGGACTTTCAAAGACTTGGCAATTCTTTCCAATATTGTCCCACATTCTCTCTCTCTCTCTCTCTCCCTTTCTCTCTCTTTCGCTCTCTCTCTCTCGCTCGCATTTGATCACTCGTGCGCTCTATCTCACGATCTTTCTCTCTGGCCCTCTCTCTCTCTCTCTCTCTCCCTCTCTTTTGCTCCCTCTCTTGCTCGCTCAGACTCTTGCATTCTCGCTTGCTCGCTCTCTTGGCTCGCTCGCTCTCTCTCTCTCTGTCTCTCGCTCTCTTGCTCTCGCTCTCTTGCTCGCGTGCAACATTCCCTCTCACTCGTGCTCTCTTGCTCTCTTTCTCGCTCAAGTTCCCTCTTTTTCCCTTTTCTCTCTCACACTCCCACGCTCTCTCTCTCTTTCTCGGTCTGCCAACTTTCCCTCGACAATGTTTAACTTTTGTTTCCTTCTCAAATGAACTTTCTTTGCGAATATTTCCTATGTCACTTGAAGGATTAAGTGAGATCCAGCCATCGGTTACAGTGATGTGGTTCTGCTTCCCTGTTAATTCTCCCCTCTCTCAGCTGCTAGCTATGGTAGCAATAATAATAATAATAATCCTTGCATTTGATATAGCGCCTTTCACGATAGGAGGACGTCTTAAAGAGATTTACTGCAAAGCGCAGTGGGTGGCTGTTGTACTGATGAACACGGCAGCTAATTTTTGCACAGGGAAGTCCCCACAAATGGTGTGAACGAGCAATTTTATCGGGTGGGTGGGTGAGGGGGGGACCAGAGAGAGAGAGAAAGAGAGAGAGAGAGAGAGAGAGTGGGGGGAATTGTCGGCCAGGACACTGAGGGGGAGAAATCCCCTTCTCTTTTGCAACAGCGCTGCGAGAGATCTTAACGTCTGCTCGAGAAGGGCACAGGCGGGTGGAGGAGGGGTAGTGAGCTCGGTTTAACGACTCCTCCGACGGCCTGTGAGAGACTTTCTGAGTCTTGGATCTCGTCTGAAAGTGTCGCAGTGATAAATAATGAACTCCAGAAGGGGATGTGCTGTGCAATAACATTTATTTAAACCCCAGGTGATAGCGGAGCGGGGAGGAAGGTGGTGGGGGGGGTACGAAGAGAGAGAGGGAGAGCAAGGCGGAGGCACTTGGAAAAAAATGGCCTAGTGACCCATAATTGATTGAGCTAGCAAAACAATTAGCTGCTGAAACACAAATAGGTGGAACTGGTTCCCTGCCCCCTTTCCCCTCTGTACGACAATGTGGAACAGATTTCATTCGCAGCAAATTAGATTAGGCTCTGACCTCGGAGTGAGGACATTTTGCGAGCGAGCTGACCAGATGGGGAAATCTTTTTTTCTCTCTGGGTTGGGGTGGGGGGGGGGTATCTTTCTGAGCCCCCTTCCCCATCACAATCACAGCCTACCCCCCCCCCCCGCCCCGACCCGCCACCAGCAAGTCAGTCCTATTTGGTCGCAGCCACAGCGCTGTTCCACGCAACAGCAACTGGGGTTTAACCCAGCGCCCCCTCCTCACGCAGGGTGGCGGCCCCGAGTCAGGGGGAGGCGACCGCAGAAGACACGGTCGAAGAGGGGGAAAGGAAGGGGCAAGGGATTGAGGGAGAGCGTTCCAATAGTTTCGGGGGGAAATGCTTTTTTGCGGAACGGGGGGCACGAGGGACAAGCTGGAGGCCGGAGCCACTCGAGCGGAGGCAGCGGGTGGTGGGTTGGGGAGTGAGCGGGTGGGAGAGGTCGGGAGGTGCCAGGGCGCGAAGGGATTTGCAGAGTGTGAGGATCTTGAGGATGATCGGTTGGGTGCCAGTGGAGCCTGGCGAGGACTGGGGTGATGGGGGGACGGAGTTTAGGGTGTGGAACAACTGGGGTCCTACTGGTAAGTAGATAAACAGCGGTGTGTGGAGTGAGGAGATTTGCCTAAGGTTTCGCCTTGAATCGCTCGGGAATCAAACCTGGGTCCTTTCGCTTGCGAGGCGAGGGGTCTAACCACTGAGCTACAGGACTCCAAGTTGGGTCTGAAGTTGGTCATTCGCCTCATGACGGGATCTTGCAACAGAGCCAGTTATGTAAACTGTGAAAATTCACACAATGCCTTAGACTCTGCTAATCTTCAGCGCTCGAGGCCATGCGGTTAAATCCACATTTCACCGCACGCAACCTCAAGCGATGAGAAAATACCTCCTCACTGACCTCGCTGCCGGCAAACAAGCTCTCAGCGAGGATCAGGGACGATAGGGAGGTGGGGAGCAGAGAGGAGAGAACACACAGCAGCTATTTTTACAGCTTCTCGTTTGAGTTAATCTCAGATCAGATGAAGGTCGTTGTTTGTCTCTCACCATTGCCTCTTCGTCCGTACTGGTGTTGTAATGGAGTCCTGTAGCGCAGTGGTTCGAGCGCTCGCCTCGCTAGCGAGAGGACCCGAGTTCGATTCCCGGGCGGGTTCGAGCGAAAACCTCAGGCAAGTTTCCTTACCCCACACGCGCGCCTCTGTTTAGAAGCAGTAAGTAGGAACCCAGTTGTTAGTCGATTGGCGGATTGTTTTCTGGGGATAATAATAAACCCTACCCACCCCCCCCCACCCCCACCCCCCCAAAAAAATGTGGCCGCTCAATCCACGGCTGTTTGCGGGGACGCTGCTGTGCGCAATTTCGCCCACAATATACAGAGTCACTACACTTTACAGCGAATCCTGTGAAGCGCTTTGAGACGTCTCGAAGGCATAATGAGACGCTGTATCAAATGCAAGGATTATTAGTACTATTATTGTTGGGTGGGGGGGTGGGGGGGAGGGAAATAATATCCCTCAAGATAATCCAGGGGTCTATCCCGTGGGGGAAGGGGGTCTGGGGGGGTGCGGACTGGGAAAAGCAACAAAGGGAATGAATTATTTTTCCCGTGTGACAGAATCCCGCAGCCTCAAGTTCACCCCTTCACTTTGAAATGATCTCGGCATTTGGCTTTAATAGTCCGACGGGGGGGAGAGAGAGAGAGAGAGAAAGAAAAAGAGAGAGAGGGAGAGAGAGGAGAGAGGGAGGGAGGGAGGGAGGATAAAAAAAAAAGTTAGGCTCTAGTCACACAATTTAATTAATGAAAAACCAAAGCAAAAGTGACCTCGCAGAGAAAGCGATATGAAATTGGAAAGGGTCACATTTGTTTAGCCGGCTTTTATCTTTTGATCACATAATTTAATATTGAAAATGAATACATCATGAATTGAGGAGCGAGGGCCTGAGGCGGGCACTTATACGGGGGTAGGGGGGTGGGGGGTGGGGGGTGGGGGAGGGCACGGAGGTGGAGGGTGGGGGTAGGAAAGGATGGGGTGGGGGTGGTTGAGTTGAACTCACGACTGACCTCATTCGGTGTAATTGTTTCCAGGGTTATAGCCTTTTCAAGTCACTGGTCTGTGAGGTTTGCTTCGCTGGGAGGAAAACGAACCAGTTTCTCTCTCTCTCTCTTTCTCTCTCCATCTCACTCTCTCTCTCTCTATTCCCCCCCATCCCTCGTCAAATCCCCCCCCCCCCTCCCTCGCCCCGATTCGCTACTGGAAATGAGCTTGATAAATCCCACAGGAAAGACACCAACTTGTCTCTAACAGTCCCTCTCTTGGTGAACTCCACTTTATGATACATTCCGTGAAGCGCTTTGAGGCGTCTCGATGACGTGATAAAGCGCTGTATCAAATGCGAGGATAATTATCATCATTATTATTATTATTATTATTATTATTCCCCAAACGTCAGTCTCAATCGATTCCCCTCTTTCTTCCCTCCGCTTGTCTCTCCACGCTAATGATAACAATCCTTGCTTTACATCACGTCTCGGAGACGTCTCAAAGCGCCTCACAGGATACACTGTAAAGTGGAGCGACTGTGTATTTTGTGGGCGAATTGCGCACAGCAGTTCTCCGCCCCCCCCCCCCCCACCCCCCGCCCGACTCTCAAGAAAAAAGGAAGGACTTTGATCGTCACAAATAGCTCGGCAGCCTTTTACCTTTGCCTGACCTCAGTGTGGGTCAGGCAGCTTGGCGGCCGGCCTTGTTCATTTCACACCGTGAAATGGGCAAGGGCTTGTCCATTTCCTGTCCCCAGCCTCACACCCAGGGTTAGGTTAGGGCAGGTTCAACCGAGATCACTGGGGGCAGGGAGTCAACCCACTCAGGTCCTGTTAACCCCGCAGCCAAAGCCCTAACCAACGGGTGGGGTGGTCCTCGCTGGACAAGCAGCGGGAAAGCTTGGCCAGACAGCGCTGGTTAGCTGGTTAGACTCCAGCAGTTACCCCAACGCACACTGTGGGCTCCCCCCCCCCACCACCCGCCCGCCCGCCCGCCCCAAGCCTTGGCTCTTTGCCAACCTGTGGAGTTCTGTAGCTCAGTGGGCGAGAGACTTGAGTTCAGTTCCCGGCAGGGCGAAACTTTGGGCAAGTTTCCTTGCTCTACGCGTCTCTGTTTCCCCAGCAAGTTGTAGGAACCCGGTTGTTAGTCGATTGGCGGATCGCTTTCCGGGGGTAATAATCCCTTCAAAAGAAAAAATAATAATAATTTGGTCACTCAGCCTACGACCGTTTGTGGGACGCTGCTGTGCGCAATTGGCTGTCGCGTTTCGCCCACAAGGTATACAGTCACTTTACAGTGTATTGTGTGAAGCGCTTTGAGACGTCTCGAAGACATGATAAGGCACTGTATCAAATGCAAGGATTATTATTATATCCGGCCCTCAGCAGCCAAAAGGTTGCCCCCCCCCCCACCGCCACCTTCCCTCCAATAGATAATAATCCTTCGAGACGTCTCAAAGCGCTGCACGGGATAAACCGTAAAGTGGAGGGACTGCGTATCGTGGGCGAAGATCATGCCATTCGGTGTCTCCTCAGGGACTTGTCCAGGGTTAGAAGCTGCTGCAGAAACCCACGGTTGGGCACAATACCTCTGTGCTGCATCACAGCCTTGATGGCTGACTCCAGGGTCATACGCTGGTGGATCATCAGATAGGCCAGGACCAGGGTGGACGATCTGCTGATTCCTACAGCACAATGGACCAGCACCTTCCCTGTAACACAGCACACGTCAGCAAGGCTTGGGTTTTTTTTTTAGATGAAAATGGAGTCCCGTAGCGTATTGGTTAGAGCGCTCACCTCGCAAGCGAGAGGACCCCCCCCGGGTTCGATCCCCGGACCGGACGGGGACGAAACCTTAGGCAAGTCCCTTTACGGCTCCGTTCACAGTAAATCGGAAACCCGGTTTGTCCGTCGATTGGCGGATGGCTTTTCCGGGGCTGATGATCCCTCTGCGGTCACTCAATCCACGGCTGTTGGTGGGGGGGAGCGCCGCTGTGCGCAGCAATTGGCTGCCGGGTTTCGCCCGCGAACATACAGCCGGTTCGCTCTACCGGACGCGGTGTGACGCGCTTCGAGACGCCTCGAAGACGGGTCAAACGGAAAGGCTTTGTCATCATTGATTGGGGGGGTCTGACTTTCACCATTGCGGTCACCCACAGAGCGGCGATGACTGACGTCGCCATCTCCTGGAGACGCGCGGACACTGCCGCCTCAAGTGAAAACCTCTCAACCCCCACACAGGAGAGGACGGAGAAAGCCTTTCGAGGGCAACGTCAGACACTCACTCATCCCACCGTCCCCCTCCCATTGCAGCCTCGAGCTATTTCTTAAACAAGCCCCACGCGCGCTCTTTGCTGTCAGTCCAGGCTGACGTCTCGCTGCAGTGCCGGGGGGGGGGGGGGGAGCACTGCATTGTTGGAGGGGCCGTTCTTTAATCATCATAATAATAGTAGTAATAGCAATCCTTATTATTACACAGCGCCTCATCACATCTTCGAGACGTCTCAAAGCGCTTCACGGGATGCACTGTAAAGTGAATTGACTGTATATTTTGTGAGCGAACCGCGGCCGCCGACTGCGCACAGCAGCGCCCCACAAACAGCCGTGGATTGAGCCACCAAATTATTAACCCCCGAAAAGCGATCCGCCAATCGACTAACAACCAGGTTCCTACTTATTGCTGGTAAACTGAGGCGCGCGCGTGTGTGTGTGTGTGTGTGTGTGTGTGTGGAGTATGGAAACTTGCCTGAGGTTTCGCCCTGACAGGGAATCGAACCCGGGTCCTCTCTCTTGCGAGGCGAGCGCTCTCACCACTGAGCTACAGGAGTGTTGGTTAAACTGAGCTCCTGATCGGGCGGACAGTGAAGGTGCCGTGATGGGATTTATCGGGATGGGGGAAGGTTGGGAGAGGTAGGGGGGAGAGGGAGGGACGGAGGGACGGAGGGAGCTGCTGTATCTTACCTCCAGAATCTCGGAGTGCCCGGTGGATGAAATCGGCTGCTGGGTAGAAGTGGACGCTCATGTCAAACAAGGGGCAGTCCTGAGCCTCGATGCCGCAGTAAGTGATGTTCAGGTCCTTGTAGAGTTCTGCTTCCCCTCTCCACTTACTGTGCACCGCGTTCAGTACGTGCGTGAGCCCCAGCTTCACCAGCTCCCGTCTGTCACTTGCTACGTCCCTGGAACGACACCCACACCCCAACAGCTTGCGTCAGCCCAGCGTCACTCCCACAGGGATTGGCTTCCCGGAGCGCTTAACGGTGGCGGAGGCCGAGCCGATGCGCGGGGGGGGGGGCAGGTTCCAGGGCGTGAAGGGATTTGTAGACGAGCGGGAGGGGCTTGTAATCGATCCGTTGGACTGAACCTCAGACGAGATGAAAGTTACTCACTGGTCTCCTATGTATAACCTCGGCCAAACTTGATCCACGTGATTGCGCGACATTTTCGCGGAGAACAGAAGCTTCTGGAGTTCGTACACGGTGCATTGTCTTTCACTGTCGTCCTCTATCATACCACGAGCGTACAGAGAGCACGTGTGGGCGTGAGCCATTTTACTGCTGAACTGTACCTACGTGTGTTTGGAGGGGGGAGTGGGGGTGGGGGGGAAAGAGAGAGAAAGTTAGCCTCCTTGTGTGGGGTGGGGTGGTGCGGGGGGAAGGCAAACGGGGTCTTTACCTTTTAGCTCCAGGGTGAACGTAAGGCAAAATATTGCGGATGAATAATAATAATAATCAATGCATTTAATACAGCGCCTTTATCGCGTCTTCGAGACGTCTCAAAACGCTTCACAGAATAGACCGTAATGTGAATTGACTGTGTGTTTCTTGGCCGAAATGTCGGTAGAAACCTGAAATAAAAATAAGGGAACACTCACACTCACTCAGCTGGTCAGGCAGCATCTATGGAGAGAGGAAAGTGAGTTAGCGCTTCAGGTCGACCGCCTTTCGTCAGAACTCAAGCTCTTTGCAGAAGGTGAACCCCCCCCCACACACACACACACACAAAATACAGTCACTAGACCTGGCAATAATTTTACCCGCAAAATACAACATCAGTCTGCTTCACAGTATATTCTGTGAAGCGCTTTGAGACGTCTCGAAGACGCGATAAGGAGCTGTGTCAAATTCAAGGATCACTATGATTGCCGTGCACAAATCTAGTGCATCCAAAACACAGTCACTACAGTGTATTCCGCGAAGCGCTTTCAGACGTGCCTTAATATTAGCGAAACAATGCAATGACTCAAAGCGGACCTCGAAGAAGAGGAGGAACGGGAAAGAGAGAGAGAGAGAGAGAGAGAGAGTGATCGAGGACCGCAACTCACTGGATTGAATTTAACGGCGCCCAAAATAACTGTACAGGGCCTACAGTCTAACGCTGAGCCTCCAATCTCTCTCCGTCTCTCTCTGTCTCTCTCTTCTCCCTCTCTCGGCCCAGCTTGATGGCATCATCTTCAAAACCACGTGGACTGACTTTACTTTGAGTGATCGATCGCCAAGCTGGCACACGCGATGTTTAGCCCTGGTGCAAACCGGAGGCTGGGACTTACAGTATCCTGCACGTTGACGTCTCCGTTCTGTGTGGCTTTACTGTGTCTGACTTGGTGAAAAATGAGACGATCTGCTATTCTTAGTCTTTTTGGTTGGTAAGAGGCTGGGCTGTGCTCTTGGGCTGGTCGGCAGTTGGCTCTCCCTTGCCTCTAGAGGATGGAATTAATTGCTAAGCTGTGATTTCGCTCTTAATGGTACAGTAATGATAATAATAATAATAATCCCTGCATTTGATACAGCGCCTTATCCCGTCTTCGAGACGTCTCAGAGCGCTTCACAGGATACACTGTAAGTGAATTGCCCGTATATTTTGCGGGTGAAACGCGGCAGCCAAAATTGTGCACAGCAGCGTCCCCAAAACAGCCGTGGGTTGATTCATTAAATTATTATTTCCTTGTTTTTTCGAAGGGATTATTACCTCCGGAAACGCGATTTCCCCGATCGACTAACAACCGGGCTCCTACTTACCGCTGGGTAAACAGGGGCGCGTGAGGGTGTGGATTAAGGAAACTTGTCCAAGGTTTCGCCCTGACCCGGGAATCGAACCTGGGTCCTCTTGCTTGCGAGGCGAGGGCTCGAACCACTGAGCTACAGGACTCAGCCTCAGGCTCTGCCACCGTTAAGCTCTCCGAGACACTGCCCCGCGTGAAAGGCGCTGCGTAAACACAAGTTGTATTATTATCAGTCCTAGTAATAATTATCATCGTTACTATCATATCATTAATGTTAGTAGTATTTATTACACCAGCGATTGATCGCTTTGCAGTGAAAGATGGGACAGTCGGCCACAAATCTAAGGAGTTAAGTATTACATTGAAGTATGACCTTGACTGACTGACTGACTGACTGACTGAGGTTGTGCTGTGTGTCTGTGAACACACTCTCACAAACCCATAAGCTCCCGTCACGCACTGCGTCCCGCACCTTTTCGAGCCAGAATTTATAGCGAGGGGAGGGAGAGAGCGAGAGAGAGAGAGAGAGAGAGAGAGCATTCTCGGATCAGGGCACGGCAGATAAAAACACATCTTAAGAATCAAGTTAACTAAACCGCTCTCGGATGAGGCAATAAAACCGAGCTCCGTGTCTGTGCCCTGTTTAAGCGGACGTTAAAAATCTCCCGCGGCACTGTTCGAAAAGAGAAAGGACTTGGCCACCCCACCCCCCGGATAAAAGTCACTCTCTTCACGGCTGTTTGTGGGGACGTTGCTGTGCGCAAATTGGCTCTCGCTCTTATTATTTTAAACGTGATTATCGTTATTATTGTTACTGCGTTCGCCTACAGAATGCACACGCACGGAAAGCTCCTGATAACTCGTCACTCCAAGGCAAACGACGAGTTATCAGGAGTGGCGAGTTAGGGATGTGTACAAATACATTAAAAAATGTGGCCGGGACATTGACAGCTCAACAACTGACTTAAGTGGCAAGTGACAAGTTAAGACAGGTTGGAGTGATCAGGATTTTACTGTAGTAACTGTAATTAACAGCAAACTCAGACAACCGTTTGAGACCTGATAATACGCTCCATTGAATGCAAGAATAATTATTATTTTATTATTAATTGATTGCCACGTTTCGCCCACAAAATACACAGTCAATCCGATGTGAAGCGCTTTGAGACGTCTCAACGACGTGATAAGGCGCTGTATCAAATGCAAAGTTTTATTATCACCACATCTAAAGATCTCAAAGTGCTTCATAAATACAAGGATTACTATTATTATTGTTATTATTATTTCAGAGTCACTACACTAGGCTTTGACGGGTTTCCGACGAGGTGATAAAGCGCCGCGTCATCTACAAGGGCTATCCGTGATAGCTCACGTAACGTTACAGTTGTTGAACATAAAATATTAAACATTAACGCCAGTTGCTGCTTCAGTCGGGCAGAGGGATTTTCCCCCCTGAAGCAATTGTGGCTGCAGTATCCCAGAACTGCCAGGTGGAGGCACTACAAACCAAGATAAAGCAAGGTTAGCATCCATTCACATGCCTCGCGTTTCACCCGTCTCTCCTCAGCCGGGCTGTGACTTTGACGAAGAGTCACCGGGAGATGCCCACAGACACCTCTTGTCCCCTCGTTTGATCTAAGATTTTTTTTCCTTACGATTCTCGCAGTGACTTCGGCTGATCTTAACGTGACTGCCATTACCGAACGCTTCCCACCCCACCACCCTCTCTCCCTCCCCGGCCCCTACAGCCAGGGTGACCGATGACCGACCGCTTCACCTCACGCCCTTAGTGTCCTCCCGTGCTTCCAGCAAGCCCTGCCTTGAGATCCCACAAGCGATTTCTTTTCCGACGCTCATCTCGTAACCCGAAAAGTTACTCGCGTCTCCATTGAACCTGTGCGCTCGTAAACAACAACAACGACGACAAATGATATTTACACGGCGCCTCTCACGTCAGGAGGACGTCCACAAGGCGCTGGACAGTCAGGGATTTGATCCTCTGGGGGTTGGGGAGACGGTGGAGCCGGGCGAGGGTGGTGGGGGGTGGTCGATGGGGTCACGGAGACTGGTGCGGGAGAGGACACGAGCTGCAGAGTTCTGGAGGAAAGAGTTGGGAAGGCCGACAAGCAGGGAGTTGGCGGAGACGTAATCAATGTTATTATTATTATTATTATTATCAGAAAGGAAAGTTGAGGACAGGAGACCGTTTACTGTTTCCCTTGTATCAAGATCCCAATTGATTCTCCCTCGAGCTTCAAAGGGGGAGTGATGTTGTGGACATAACTACAGCATCAGGGAAGCTTGAGAAATCTTGTGGCAAACAAATGAATTTCTGGCCTTGGGGGAAAATCAATTGCGTCAATAAACAGGATTATGTTTTTCAAAAATAAAATTAATTTCCTCTCTCCAACCGTGATCTGCCTTTGGGGGATTGCCACTGAATTCACAGCCGAAACTCAGCAGCAAAGAGAGAGCGGCTAGTGACAGAAAGAGCAAAAGAGAGCCACGGAAAACATCAGCTGTCACGTCCAACGGGGAACAAAAGAAAGTGCGTTACATATTTTATCATATAATAATAATAATAATAATTCATCTTTACGTTTGCAGGAGACGTTGAGACGTCTCAACGATGTGATAAGGCGCCGTGTCAAATGCAAGGATTATTATTATTATTGCTATTAGGGAGTTTGAGCTCAGAGTCCAGGCTAACACTCCAGTGCAGTGCTGGGGGGAGTACTGCTCTGTCAGAGAAGCCGTCCTTTGAATGAGGCTTTAACCGAGCTCCCTACCAGTTATGTGCCCCGTTTACGTGGTTGTTAAAGATCCTGTTGAAAATAGACGAGGGAGTTTCTGTCTCTCTCTCTCTCTCTCTCTCTCTCTCCCACTCGGTGTCCTGGCCAACAATCCCCCAGATAAAATTGGTCACTCGTTTCATGGCTGATTGTGGGTTGTTGCTGTGGGCAAATTGGCTGTCGAGTGTCGCCCACAACATACCGCACCCAGCCAAGCTGTTTGAGGTGTTTTGCATTGATAAGGTGCTATGTCGAATGCAAGAATTCTTGCTGGAGTTCACTAAGACTCCTTAATCCTCGCTTTTGGTCCAGCGCCTTTTCATGTCGGGAGGACATCGCAAAACTCTTGACAGGATTTTTTATTGTGAAGCGGAGCAGATGGAGGGACTGGATTTGCAGGTAAAACCCAGCAGCCCAGTTGCGCCCAGCCTCGTCCCTGCAAACCGCCAAGACGCTTGGAGTCCTGTAGCTCAGTGGTTTAGAGCCCTCGCCTCACACGCGAGAGGACCCGGGTTCGATTCCCAGGCAGCGAGAACACTTAGGCAAGTTTCCTTACTCCACACACACACTCACACGCACACACGCCTCTGTTTACCCAGCAGTTAGTCAATTGGCGGATCGCTTTTCCGGGGGTAATAATCCCTCCAAAACAAACAGTAATAATTTGGTCACCACCACTGTTTGTGGGGACGGACGCTGCTGTGCGCAATTGGCTGCCGGGTTTCGCCCGCGAAATGCACGAGGCACCACACTTGGCAGTACATTCTGTGAAGGGCTTTGAGGCGTCTCGAGGACGTGATAAGGCGCCGCATCAAATGCAAGGACTACTATTAACATTGAGTGAACGACAGATTTTATTTGCGGGTTAGGGAGGAAAAAAGGAAGTCAAATGCTTTCTTTGTAGTGGGGAGAAGAGGGAGTTGCAGAGCGTAAAATGCCTCGAGGCGTATAAAATTGTCGTATCCCCGAAAGTCATTCTCGTTGTGTTTATAGTAATCAGGGACTAAGTTTACTGTGTGTTGGCCAGTGATACATGGTTAAATGACAGTTTAATGAAGGCTTCACTGATAGTGTTCGAGGACTTTGGTCTCCATGAACAAGCATCGCAGGCTGAATAAAATAGCTTCCGAGCGATAAATTTCTGTTCCTACACTGGATTCCACTGGGCATTCTGCTGATTCATTTCCCTTCGTGGTTTGAATGTCAGTCCATCGCTTTGTGGTTGCGTGAATCGGAAACCACGTGATGTCTGGTCACTTGCCCCTAAACCTGTCTCGGTCCCCAAACCAAAGTCGTTTCGCTTGCGATCATGAAGGATCAGGGACTTCAGTTTGTGACCAAAAATAATAATTTGGTCACTCAATCCACGGCTGATTGTGGGACACTGCTGTGCGCAATTCAATTCACTCGACAGTATATTCTGCGAAACGGCTTTGAGATACCCAGGACGTGATACGGCGCTATATCAAAGGCCAGGATTATTATTATCATTTATTCCTGACGTGTGCCGGCTTCTGCTGATGAGAAAAAAGAAAGTGTTGCTTCGCAGCTGAGTGGCGGGTGTTTAATCTGCATTAGAGCCAGGTTGACAACCCTTTTCCGTGAAGGAACTGGCAAAGGCACTGACACTGAGCCCGAGACTGCAGGGCTGCTCATCAAAACCTTCAATGGATTTTCCACTTCACACTGTGTCGGGCTTGCGATTTAAAGCACCATCGTTCAAACAAAAAGATATAACTAGCGAGAGAGATTAGCCACAGTACCATTCGGAACAGATTTAGCTCACGAATATAATCATGCAATTCACCTGACCATTTTTCTCGAAAAAAAAAATCTGACATACTTCATTTCTGCCCATTCTCAAAGGCCGGAAATCTCTGAGGTTCATGTGTCCATCTGAGAATATCTCTACATAACAGCTGTACCTGTTAATCTCATCCTGTTTCTCTCCTGTGCCTCAATCCTATTTTTCGATGCTATAAAACACAACCGTTTTTTAATCAGTAGAAACCGGGCCCATCGTTTGTCCCCAGTCAAAACATAGAGGAATGATGATAATCTTTGGCTTTAATTGCAGTTTTTAACTGACGTTCAATATGTAGGGCACTTAGAGAGGGCATTTAGCCCATCGTGTCTTATATTGATAACAATAATAATCCTTGCATTTGATATAGCGCCTTATCATGTCTTTGCAACGTCTCAAAGCGCTTCACAGAATATATTGTAAAGTGACCAAATTATTATTATTTTTTCTCGGTCAGGGCGAAACCTTAGGAAAGTTTCCTTACTCTACACACACACACGTCTCCGTTTGCCTCGCAGTAAGTAGGAACCCGCTTGTTAGTCGATTGACGGGGTTAAATCCCTCCAAAAACAAATGTGGTCACTCAACCCACGACTGTTTGTGGGGACGCTGCTGTGCGCGATCGGCTGCCGCGTTTCGTCCACAAAATACACAGTCACCACACTTTACAGTAAATCCTGTGCTGCGCTTTGGGATGTCTCGACGACTTGATAAGGCGCTACATCAAAGGCGAGGATTATTGTTATTATTGGTATTATATCAGAGCAATCTTTCAGACGACAGGATTCGTATTGAATCCATTGCCCCAGACAAGGAGAGAGAGGCTTTAATGCATCAGCGCGAGTCTGAACAAGGGCAGAGAGATTAAGAGTCGATTGCTAAAACCTTTTCTATTCCAGCGATATTGACCCTGTCTATTCAGAAATAGGACTGTCTCGCTGCTCCAGCTCAGAGAGAGAGAGAGAGAGAGCTTGTTTCTCTGCAGTTTACAGTGTGCAGTCAAACAACTACAAGTGCCCTTAATTACAGCCCATAGGCTTCCCATTCATCCCTCGTGAAACCAACTGAAGCCCGAACCTCACAAGTGCCTCTGCCTTGGTCAACCGAGAAACCGAAGGCAAGTTACGTACATCAGCTTTGTTGGGTGCGCGCGTGTGTGTGTGTGCACACCCATGTGTATGTCGTGTGTGTGTGTGTGTGTGTGTGTGTCAGCAGTCGGGAACTCTCGATACCTTTTCAGACATGGAATCTTAGAATCTTGTCCCCCAAAACTATGGAACTCTCCCTCAATCCCTCTCTGCCTTGCCCCTTCTTTGGTGGCATCCTTCCTCTTCGACCGTGCTCACGGCCACCTCCCTCCCTCCCTCCCCCGGCTCGGTGCCAGGCTCCGCCACTGTTAAGCGCTCCGAGACGCTGGCACAGGGGAAGGGCGTCGTGTAAAAACAAGTTGTTGTTGCAAAGTTACCCCCTGTGAGATGCATTCTCTCAAGACAGAGGCCTGGGGAGGAAGGAAGCCAGTGTGCGATTGAATAACCAAATGATTAAAGGAAAGCATCACTAAGCCTTACTTAGGAACAAGCAAACACTACAGAGACTGAACAATCTCTCCAACAGATAGGCATTCTGACGCTTTGTCTTGTAATCTCTTTACAGAGTATTACATCCTGAAAGGGGTTGTGATTTGACTGAACAATTGATTTCCCCTTGGCAACTCGCTCTTGTCATCCAAATCCCCGGTGCTTTGGTTCGGAGAACAGCGCAAACTGGGACCTTCGTGGAATTATAATAAATAAAACAATAATAATCCTTGCGTGTGATATCAATCCCCCAAATAGAATTGGTCGGTCACTCACTCACTCACTCACTCACTCACTCACTCACTCACTCACTCCAACTGCCCACCGGGTCAATCCACTTTGCAGTCTGTCCTGTGAAGGACTGTGAGACGTCTCAATAACGCGAAAGGCACGATATCGAAAGCGAGGATAATTATTGCGATAATGTCCCAAAGCGCTTGGCGGGATTTCCCGTGACTGCAGACAATGCGATCAGAAGCTTTACCAAATTACACAATCCTAGAATCTCACAGCGCAGAAAGAGGCCATTCGCCCCCTCTCGCCTATGCCGGCTCTTTGAAAGACCTCCCCAATCAGTCCCACTCCCCCCTGCTCTTACTGCGGAGACTAATGCGAGAAAAAAAATGTGAGAGGATATTTTTCAAGGATTATTATTTATTATTGATAAACACTTTTCCTGCCTCTTTCCCCTTTATCCGTTCCCTTCACACGCGTGTGCAAAATACTCATGTTTATTGTTCAGCAGAACCATTTTAATATACGCCACGGAACATTCATTTTGCTTGGCGGAATAAACAGCTTCCCCAGCGAAACTCACCTCTCTTTCACCGCATGTTTTATTTAATTTCAGATTCTCTTTTATTTATTCCTTCGGTTTTTTTTTCATTATTGTGCTGTGCATTATTCATAGGCACACAGTTTATTTGATACCGGTGCTCATAACGCCCTCGTTTTATGAACTGCCGTACAATCGCTATCCCTGCAGGAATTAATCCTTTATTTTTGTCCTGATAACGAATTAGGGACTATAGTTCTCTCTCTCTCTCTCTCTCTCTCTCTCTCGCTCTTTCTCGCTTGCTCTCTCTCTCTCTCTCTCTCTCTGTGATCAAAACATAGCCAAATCCGCTTTTGATTTCCATTTTGATTCCCTTGCCAACCTCCGAAATCTTTCTGCACACGTGTGCCGAGGTTCTCAAACCCGTCAGCCTCAGTCGTGTGCGCTCTCGCCTCCCGAGTTAAACGCTTGCAGGCTCAACGCCAACAATTTACGTTTACGCGGCGCCCTTTCGCGCCAGGAGGACGTCCCGAGGCGCTGGACAGTCAGGGATTTGGACCCGAGCTGTGGGGTTGGGATCAGGAGGGCCGGAGGGCGGGGAGGGTAGAGGTATTTTTTTGGGGGTCAGAATGCAGTCATCTTTGCGGGACTGTTTGTGGGGGACGCTGCTGTGTGCGATTGGCTGCCGCGTTTCGCCCACAAAATACACAGTCACTCCACTTTACGCTGTATCCTGTGAAGCGCTTTGAGACAGCTCAACAACGTGATAAGGCGCTGTATCAAATGCAATGATTATTATTATTATTATCTTTGCCCCCCCCCCACACACACACACACATATCTACCCCCTCCCACCCCAGGCTGTTCCCCAGCCAGGATTGCCTTGGGACATCCTCCCGACGTGAAAGGCGCTGTGCCATTGCTTCGGATCATAACGCATCCTCACGCGCCGTTCCTCTGCTCTGTGTGTTAATATTCCAGAGCCCTCGCAGTCTCGGAGAGATTGAGATAAATAAGGTCGCAATGTAATTAAAAGTTCAATTCTAAGAGCTTCCGTGACGATGAACCATCGCTTCCCTGCCTTGACGCACAAAAAAAAAAGGTGCCAATTTATTCCATTTGCTCGTCTTGTCAGAGTGTGCCTGGGGTTTGATGCTTAGAACTCAGGGTGGATGCTGATAATAACGAAACTAATCCCTGTATTTGATAAGGGAGTCCTGTAGCTCAGGGGTTAGAGCCCTCGCCTCACAAGCGCGAGGACCCGGGTTCGATTCCCGGTCGGGGCGAAACCTTACTCAAGTTTCCTTACTCCATACACACACACACACGCACCGCACCACACGCCTCTGTTTACCAGCAGTAAGTAGGAACCTGGTTGTTAGTCGATTGACGGATCGCTTTTCTGGGGGGTAATAATCCCTCCAAAAGGCAATTAATAATAATTAGGTCACTCAATGACTGTTCGTGGGGACGCTGCTGTGCGCAATTGGCTGCCGTGTTTCGCCCACAAAATGCACAGTCACTCCACTTTACGGTACATCCTGTGAAGCGCTTTGAGACGTCTCGAAAACACGATGAGGCGCTGTGTCCAATGCGATGATTATTATTATTATTATAAATAAATAAATAAACGCGGGCGAGATATTGACGGCACGATGACTCAACCGGGAGTGACTAGTTAAGCCCAGGGTCGAGTTATCAGGAGTCGACAGTAATGCGAAGACGGTTATTGTGAACAATAAGCTGCGAGATAGAGAGATAGAGATAGAGAGACACGAAAAGGTCGGCTTGTCTTATCCACTCGCTGCTGTCTTGACGTGCCTGTGTGCGCACGTGCGCGCGCGTGTGTGTGTGTGTGTGCGTATCTGTCTGTGTTGGACTAGTGCCAGCGCGAGCTGTTAATTACACAGGTACCTCTTGTCTTTACAAAGCAGGTTTGGTGTCTCGCACTGACCTGCCGATCAGTCTGAAAGGGGCCCAGGGAGCCGCAGGAAACCGCTTGGTTTACCACGGAACTAGTAAATTGCCGCACTTTACATGTCGACGGGCACCGGGTGTTGTGGCAGCGCAGGGATGGCAAGCTCGCCAGCCGTCCTAAAGTAGGCAGCCACCTTACCTTCCTCAGTACAGTCGTGGCTTCTCCCTCTCAGCCTCTTCACCTTCCTCTCCCACACAACCCACACCCCCCCCCCCACCCCTCCGTGCGCGCGCGCACACGTGCGTGTTTGCGTGTGTGTGATGTTTGCGTGGGAGCAAATATGTGTGCGTGTGTGTGTGTGTCCGTGTTTTGTGTGTGTGTGTTTGTGTGTGTGTGTGCGGGTATGTGTGTCTGCCTCTTGCCTCTCAGACACAACAACAACAACAAATTGCATTTACACAGCGACTTTCACGTCGGGAGGACGTCCCAAGGTGCTGCACTCGAGCTGGAGGTGGGGGTGGGGGGGGTTGGGTTGGGTTGGGATCAGAGAGGGTGTGGAGGGTAATTACGTAAGCGGGCTGCATCCCCCAGAGAGAGAGAGAGAGAGAGAGAGAAGAGAGCGCATTCTGTTCCAACCATCTATCTCGGGGATTTCCACGCGTAGGTGGGAGGCGTGGGATTCTCAGTTGGGTTTGGAGACTCTTAAGCGAATGGTGACGGGTTTCTGCGTGCGTCAGACGCCCGGACGGCCAAGAAAAAAAAGGGTTCAGAGCTATGTTGATTCACAGACCCCCCCCCCCACCCCATCATTAGCGAACCTGATGCCTGGTAAATTTATTCCCCTGCCTTTCCCCAGCGCCTTGGGACGTCCTCCCGACGT